TAACCAGCTCCCGTAGTTCCTACTATTCCGTCCCCGAACGGGCAGCCGGTTGCACGTCACTCACGCGGTACTGAACAAGCACGACGTAACCCCCCCCCCCCCCCCCCCCCCCCCCCACACACACACACACTTTCTCGCGTTGCGTTGCGTCGGGCTACGCAACGGCGTGCGTCGTTGCGCAGCCCGGTGCCGTAAGGACGCCGTTCCGCGCTCAAACGCAGCCAAACGGAAATGTGTGTATAAGCGTCAAGAATAAAAAACGAGATACACAACGTTACGACCCCGCAGCAGGTTGATCATGTAACCATAGCGACAAGCAGTGACGTTCCGGCTCAAAGAGTGTAGTTTAAAAAGGAGAACTATACTGTGCTGCCAACCTTAATTCAACTGCGCAGCGAAGGATTGAAAATAGCGACACTGAGACTAGAAAGGCGACGCGATAGTTCAATCAAAAGCACGAAGAACTAACTCTTGACCAATCATAATCACTGTTAGTTTAATAAAAGCACAAAAATCAACTGGCCCAATACCAACCGATGGGCTGCTAACATATGCGACAGCATATTATCATATCTGATAAACTCGCCATACGTATTCAATACGCAGCGGTGTCGGAAGTTGCGGTTCGAGTCTCGGCACATGAACAACTGCACTGAGATTTAGTGACCCAAAACCGTGTTCTACAATTACATCGCGATTTTATCGGGCATGACCAAAATTTGACCCTCAAGTTTGTGTCGTTTAAGACTTGAAACTGTAATGCAGAAAAAGGCAAAAAAAAAAAAAAAAAAAGAGCTCTTCGTCGAAAGAACAGTTACAGAAGGGAACGTCTGTGTTTGTTCCTTCGACTAAAAGTTTTTCGTTTTCTGCACCACAGTCGCTGGTGTTGGACGACATAATGAGCTACCACCAGCTCGCTTGCACACTCACATGTTTTTTTTTTTTTTTTTTTCAATTGTGTAGTTGCTTCTTTTAGAAACGCGTGGGAGAGCTTTCGATTTTTGACACAACACTAAAAGTCCGCCACTGGAGGCGCTCAGATGAGAGGACGCCACTACTTTCCTCGTGTTCTTGCCGTTCGCAGTCCACCCCCACGTTCAACATTACGAAAACCTGTTAAAGGGATACTGACCCAAAGAATTTAGTGCCCATAATAAGTGGCGCACGTTCTTTCCACCAGCCAGCAGCCGCCGATGTGCGCGAGCACACTCAACAAAAATGACGTCACAGACTTCCATTCGCGGTTGAGATGACAGTGAAATGCATGGGCTTCGGACTAAAGGAGAATAAAGATAGGCTTTTCATCTCTACAAGTGAAAGCTACGTGCTTGTTAGACCAATTCATCGCTTACTTTTTACACCAGGCACCACTTTGTAGATGAAAAACTTGTCTTTATTCTCCTTTGGTCCGAAGCCCATACATTTCACTGTCATCTCAACCACGAATGGAGGTCTGTGACGTCATTTTTGTTGCGTGTGCTCGCGCACACCGGCGGCTGCTGGCTCGTGGAAAGAACGTGCGCCACTTATTATGGACACTAAATTCCTTGGTTCAGTATCCCTTTAAGATATCTGCAACCTCTACTTTCCCACATAGCACGTGGGAGAGATGTGTGGAAGTCTGTAGTGGAAAAGAGTAAAACACTAAGAAAGACGGGGGGAAAAAAAAGGGGAGGGGCATACAGCTTCTTAAACTTACACATTATACATTCAAGTGTATCAAGCTCTACCGCTTTACGGAGACTATCGTCGAGCTTCAGCCTGTTTGCCGCTTGGGGCGGGTCGAGGATCCACTAACAATGACGTCATGCTCGGGGCCTTGTCTCCTAGGTGGAATTGACTCACTGCACCTGTGCGGCGCCGGGATGCATGGGCCGACGCGCATTCCGCACGGAGTGTCGGGGAGCCCTCCACCCCTGTCGCCCCCCTGGGGGGCGTGAAAGCGTGGCCATTGTGGCTTCCCCGGTCGGGGACCTCATGAACTCACTCCTCCGACCGTCCCTGTACGGAACCCCTCAGAGTAACTCTATTTAGCTATTCCCCCAATTCTCCGCCAATACCACTTAGAAGACAAGGCCTGCTCATGATGTCATTGTTAGTGGATCCCGACCCAGCGGCAAACACGCTGAAGCTTGACGAGAAGCGACGCAAAGCGTCAGACACGGCCGTCGTAGCGTCGTCGCGTACTATATATAGCGTCGCGGTAGTTGTGAGACACTGCGCGACGCGCTTGCAGCGACGCTGACGCTAGCTATAGGCGTCGCATGCGTAGTTCCACTAATGGTGACGTTCGAGAAGGAAGTGCGCCGGCCTTTTCCCCTAGGTTGTACTGCCTCCACCCCTAACTAGAGGGGATGATGGAGCCTGCGGGCACCGAGGGACTCGCGTCCGGCATGCTGCAGGAAGGGGAGCTGCACCGTGTATAATAAGATCATTTTGCGACTAATTTCCCAGTGGGCGCCATGTTTAAGTGCGCCGTTCACGGCGCGTGCTCGGAACGAGTTCGCACTTGTAGGCTGCTAAGACTGGCAATCTTGATGGTGTCGAATGGACGTTGCAAAAGCGCGAGTGGGATCTCGCAGCATGCACGCGCTCAACAGTCGCGGACTCGGCTATGGCTGCCAGTTACGTTTTATTTGAGAATTCCGTGTCGACGTCTTTTGTTGCGAACTGAAAAGTCTAGATGGTCCTATTACCGGAGCGAGTCGATCAATGATTCAACAATTCGAAATCGATGCATGAGCATGTTTCAACTTACAGCAACCAAAATTGAAGGTCTATTTCCAGCTACATTATGTACTAATTTTGAAAATAGGAAAAATCTAGTCGCGTTGACACGGTCAACATAGGTTCACGGCTCTCTGGTATCGCGCAGGAGATTGCGATTCCGGAAAGCCGAGAGAACTATACCTTCTCGACAATTTCACACCACACCCGGCGGAAAGGAGCCTTCAACTAAGCCTTGTAGATGATAAAATCGAGTCAGTGTCACCGCTTCAAATATTACAACGTTCAGATATATTCGGTTACAAACTGTTACAAGCTGAAACAGCAATTATCATGAGAAAACTTGCACGCACCTTGCGAGCGTACGCGTGTTTATCGGCGGTATAGCGTTCGGTGCGCGCTACATTCACAAAATGTTCCGAGCACAGTCGAGAGGATGGCTTGGGGAAAAGCCTTTCCGGTTTACGGACGCAACCTACTGCAGCCGGAGATCGAAGTCACGTGGAAAGCGATGGCGCTTAGACATTGCAACCGCACTTGCCGGACTTGGTGCAAACTACATAGCTCCTCGGGCAGTATTCGACGCTTTCTGTCGTTATTCGTGCGCCCTATAACCGAGCAATGATGTCCCGATGACCGGGGGACTGTCGCCATCCAAGCCCGTGGCTCGAGTTAAAGGAGCGGTGCAACGATATTCAGTTGGAATGTTTTTTTACTTTACACGAGCTTAGTGGCACTAGTGGGACTCAAGGATACTCGCACGCAACGCCACTGACCAAGAAACGCCTTAGTTGCGCTGTAATTTCGAGGACAAAACCGAGTGTTTTCATTCAATCTCTCCTTCGAAAAACCTGATGACGTAGCTGGGCGGTAGCAGTACCGCCCAGTGACGATATTTGAATGCGGCTCATAGATTGGAACCGAGCATGGCGTGGACACTTGATTTAGGCTCGTGATAATAGATAGCTCGAGAAGCATTCGGGTAGTGTCCCGTGTCCAATCGCTGCAATGACAACAGCCGAACCATAACAAAGTCCGGAACTCAGCGCGTGTCCTGTGCCTTGCCAATCCCAGCGCATGGCTATGATCAACATTAGCGGCGTATAATCGGCTTGTTCTAGCTGCGAGTTGAGGGAGTGAACTCTGCTAGTTTTTCTTTATTTTTTTTTCTGCGACTTCGATTGCGTGTGGTGAAAAACGAACAGGTATTTCACAGGTCATTAACGTCAGGGATCCGTTCTAAGCGGTATTTGCGCGAAATACAAAAATCGTTGCATCGCCCCTTTAAGTTTGCAATTTTGAAACAGAAGAAAGCGCGAACGAACTTCGGGCAATGCATACAGCTAACACCGGCGAAGCCTCTCATCCGGGACTTTCACTCTTTCTAACGCACCAGCAAGGGGTAAACGCAACACCTCCTAAAGAAGAAGGCCGTAGCGCTCTTCTCGTGACGTCACAAAGGAGGGCCATCGGGGCGCGCGTCGAAGCGAAGGCAACACGCGCGGATCGACCGTCGTAACGCGTTTTTAGTCACACAGGCGTTTGATATTAGCTAAAATGAAAGCTGCACATAGCAACGGGTCTAGAAAACATTTTATTACACGAGAAAAATATTACACCGCTAAATAATCGGTACGAAATGGCACGAGGTATGCGTATAAGACGTCTATAGAAAAATGTGATTGTTTTAGGTCGGAAACATTGAGTCACGCAATTATTGTTGTAGGAATGCATATTTTATATGGAAATACTTCGACAAAATGGCGAGACACACAGTGATTGGAAACAGCAATACAGATCAGTTAAAAGTCAGGTAGACGTATAGTCAACGCGGACAAGGCAAGGCAAGTGTCACTTACGATCATGTAAGCGACGTCATCGCGTGCAGTCACTGAATTCTTGCATCATACCCCGGCCACATAGCAAAATTAATGTAATTTCGATGGAATGACATTATTGGGTCAACAAATCCTCTTGCGGCGCTCGTATAATCACTCAAGACCGCGAGCTGATTAAATCCTATATCACTGAATGGAAATATATTAACATTTCCGTGTGGCAGGGGTACTAAACTTACTACTTAGTCAACTAATTTACTTCTCCCTTGCTTGTAATGACAAAGTTTACTTTTTTTAATAGGGCGGAAGTTGCCAATATTTGTATACTATTGAGTAGTAAGCATGACCACGGTATTCGCAAACAGTGGAAAGAGCGTACTGCGGGTCGTCAGCTGCCCGGGGCCCCGTCTCACTGCAGCGTCGCCTTCTTTGCAGGGTGCGTCGATGGGCGACGCCTACTTGATCGAGCACCAACGACCGTCGTTCTGCGAGAGTCCTCCCAACGTGAGTGCTCCTCTGGAACGAGTGTCGGGGCACGACACAGTCGCCGGAAAAAGATTGGTTTCTCGCACATTCGCATGGACAGAGAGAAGCATTAGCCACAGACAGCAGGGCGTAGCTTATCACGCTTCTCGCTTAGTGACTGGTACCGGCGTTCTAATCGTCTATTGCTTTAATCTGATTGACTGCGGGCTGATAATGAGATGCTCGAACGTCGCCACGCCCCGCCTTTCGGTTGTTGTCGGTGACTCTTGAGTCCCACTGGAGCGACAAACAGAAACAAACGACAGCGACAAGCCTCAAACACATGCAGCAATCTCGCGATGGTAACCCTTGGCCACGACCTTTGGCCTTTGGCGGGCGTTTCGTCGTTCGGGGCTCGTGAAGTAAGCACGAGTGATTGCAAGCCTGCCAAAGATACGCTCGCGTGCATGATGCTAGTGCTTGTGCATAGCCTCCTTTGATCTACAAAGCCTGTCAAGTCGCGAAAGTCTCTGGTTCGAAGCTTGCCGCTGTCGTTTGTTTCTGTTTGGTCGATCTAATGGGACTCGGGCGTTGGCGCCGAGATGGTTCCATGGAGCCTTCTTACGGCCTCCGTTCCATGACATCACGACCAGGATTCGCCCCGCCTTGATTGGCAGGATGTGCCTCACCATGAAGCGGCGATTGGGCAGGCATTATCAATATGCAGGAGCTTCTATGATCCACGGGTAAGAGCGATCAAATGGCCCACCCGAGAAAGATGACAAACACGGGCGGCCCGCGTGTTTGTCTTCTCTCTTGCTGCCGTTTACTTAACCCCTTTTGAACCCACAGCTTGAAAACGTTCCTCACCAACTAATCCAACAAGAATACTTTTAATGGAAGATATGATTTTTGCGACCACAGCGACGCTTTTGATCGCGAACGCCGCCAATAGTGTCGGAAGGGCACGTAGAAATATAAGCAAATTTTTGCAACTCCAGCGCGCCGCTCGCGCTCTCGCGGACGACGGAGAACCAGAGGAGCGGGGACGGCAGCGGCGGCGGCGGCGCGGAAACGGTGGCAGGGACTGTCGGCCTTGATGCGTGAAGCCGTTTTAACGGACAAAAGTGAACGTGTTAAAATAGGAATTCTTATGTTCCGACTTGCAACCGCGTTACACGAAGGACCGTGATGTCTAATTTCATTGGGGACTTTTCCCAAATCGTATACGCTGCGGATTTCTGGTCTTGTGCATGGCCGCCAGCTCAATCTGCGCTCAACGGGACGGCAAACGCTCCCGCTAGTAATGTAGAGCTCTAGCGTACGGTCTACGAAGAGTCTAACCTTTGCCCTAGGAGAAAACTGGTCGAGCAACGGTATGTCGAATAATACACATCGGGATTGGGTTCGTGTTTTAAGGCCGTTACAAGGAACATGACCATTTATTCGAAGCACTTTCAAAAGACACAATACCCGTACTTGCTTTAAGGTAATTACAAAGCAAATAAATAAATTATCGAAGAATTTTAAGCACGTCTGTGTTAGCTAGCTGTTCGTGACGAGAGCTTAGAATGGGCAGTTTTGGCGAGAGCGGCCGCAACGTTGCAAATAACACGGTACAAGAAATGTACGTATATTAAAATATTTCTCTTCGATATAGCAATAAATAAAATCCTTAAACACGCCGATTCTATTAATAGGCAGTTTTAGCAAAGCGTTCCCGGAGGCTACCATTGCCTACCGTGAGCATGGCAACGCTCCTGGCGCGCGCTGAAACTTGTGCTTCAAAGGCGCAGCGCGAGCTTCCGGTTGCAATGCTACACCGCACAATAGCCTGCGGTAACAAACTTCCTATCAATAACCAGAGAGCAGTTTGATCACGTGTTGCAACACGCTAAAACCGAGACGGAGAGCAGCGAGTTGCGAGCCTGTGACACGAATGCAGCAATACTGTGAACGCTGCTCTTCCACATCTTGATGGTCACCGTGCGTGGCTCACTTCTGAGAGCACTGTTGGCCAGGCAAAGTGCAAGCACGATATCTTCATCACCCTCAATAATATTCTGCCACAAAGAGTGACGTGGCCGGTGCCCACAACGCGCTCGCCCACCGCAAAGCTTCGCAAGTCGAGGTTTCTGCAACTTTTAAATATCAGCATGCTCGTTTTCTTACCGCGCATCAACATCTCCGTCACCTGTAATATGATCCTGCCCTAACCGCTTCGCATTTGTAGACAAATAAATCAGTTTTAGCGCACTGACCAGCTTCAGCGAGCAGGCGCACGTGAAATCCATGGACAATCTCTCCAGGTCTCTTCCGACATCTTGGAACTACCGCCCCAACGCTTTGGGGAACCCAAAGAGCTTCGGGTGTCGCACTGCACATGCGCAGAACGTCTGCGCTTGCGGAGTGTGACGCCCCAGGCTGCTCGGTGTACCCAAAGCGCCTACGGACCGCCGATTTCAAAACTCTCCATTAGATGATGGGCCATTCAGCGCGCGGCACTCGTTACAGTAAGTATAGCAAGCTGGTTCGACGGTCACTCAATGCCATTCGATGGAAACGAAATATAGTTTTGCCATTTGGCAGGGAATTACTATCCCCTAAACATGTTGACACCATCATTTTTACGCCGTTATCATCTTGAGCGAAAAACAATCTCCATTTCCGAAAACGCTGCTGCGGATATGGATTTTTTCCATTTTTCTTCGTCCTCACTGCTCAGCCACGTAGTTTCCACGTCCGGTGGGGAACTAAATAAAACTTGACACTTATAAAAAGTACGATAATAAAAAAAAAAAAAAATAAACAAAGAACAATAACGTAAAGTAATAAAAACAAGGCTAAGCGCCAGTCGCGATTAAACCGTAAACACTTCCCAGTGGCGTGGCGACAACAAAACGATAGTCTCCCCAAAATATAAAAAGAGCAAACAAAAAAAAAAAAAAAAAAGAAAAAAAGAAAAAGGTGTCATCATTTTTAAGAGTCCTATCGGCGTCCTCTATAATGTCCTCTATAATCTTCGGCCCCTCAAATTTGTGTTTCATGAGTCTAGGGCCACAGGTGCTGATTTACGATTGAGTTTAATAGGAAAACACACGAACCTGCCACAACAGAAACATACTACCAGACCAATGTCGTGAACCAATTCGCTTCCCACCGAATTAGGTATGTTCTCATCTTCATACAATTCAAGTGGTGGCGAACTGATGCACATGGTTTTATTTAATTTAATTTTTAAGGCACTCGAAAATGCTCTCGTTCTCTGTTTGCCGTAGCAGTTTCTTCTGTGTCATCCAACTGCGGGACACACCCATACCTGTCACAATGGATCACAAGGTCCATGAAATAAGTTACATACTTACACAATGGCAGCCACAAGATTAAAGGAGCGGCAGTGAGACGCAATTAAGGTGCCTGTGATTTTAACGCGGTGGCGTTTAGGAACTCGTGTTGCAGAAAAGCCGGCGTCGGTGTCGGTAGGTGCGAAAATCCTGACTGATCAATATATGGTCATAACGTCACAGCCAAGTGTGACGTCACGCGTGACGTCACGTGTGTGGCGTTACGACACATGAGCTCGCGCGGGAATTTCAAACGACACACAATGCACACGTGAGACGTCACGAAAACCGTCACGTGCGCCGTCACGCGAAACGTGACGTTACGCGTGGAATGAAAGTGATTAAAACATGACATCAACCAAGCGTTTTATTTAAGGATCCCGTGTCGACGAGCGGGGATTTTGTCGAGAAATAAAAGCAGCAAAGTCGAGATGGGCCTATTGCCGGAGCGAGTCGATCAGTGATTCAACGATTCGAAAGCGATGCATGAGCATGCTTCAACTTTTAGCAACAGAAATAGAAGGCTTTTTTCTAGCTCTATTATGTACTAATTTTGGAAATAAGAAGAATCTAGTTGGGTGTTGTGACGGTCAACATAGGTTCACGACCCTCTAGTATCGCGCAGCAGATCGCGATTCAGGAAAACCGACAGAACTAACTTTTTGACAATTTCCAGCCACACCCGGCGGCGGAAATGAGCCTTCAACTAAGTGTTGTAGATGATAAAAACAAGGCAGTGTCACCAGTTCGAAATATCAATGTTACGATAAATTCGGTTACAAAGCTGAAATAGCAATTATAACGAGAAAACTTGCACACACCTTGCGACCGTACCCCATGTTTATCAACGGTACAGCAGTTAAGTGCGGTGCGCGCCCCATTCACGAAATGTTCTGAGCACAGTCGAGAGGATGGCGTTGGGGAAAAGTATTTTCGGTTTACGGACGCAACCCACTGCCGCCGGAGATTGGGGTTACGTGGAAAGCGATGGAGCTTGTACCTCTGTCAGACGGGAGCCTAAAAAGACCTTTACGCCAAAGGCCTTTAGGATTTTCAAATGACCTTTAAGTTCTGCCGTGCCATACAGTGCAAGTAAATGCCATTTAGACGATGTTTACAGCGATTGAAGTTCGTAGCTCGTCCAAACGAATAAATTACGTTTACGCCAGAAAAATAATATTTTGTCTTTCTCATGGAAACAAACTATTAAAAAATAAAAAAAGACGAAATGACGAGTTAAGTCGAGTGATTACAACAAAGTCCACTTCAAGCCCAAGCAAAGTGGTATTTTGGCTATCAGCGGCAACCCTGAGCATCTCCCACTCACTCAGTCCTAACGTTGCTGAGTGCTCCCGCTCTTTTCCGTGCTTCTGCTACGCTCTTGTCCTGTTCAGTTCGGCGTCGTGCTCGCGCTTGAGTTTCATCGTGCACGCGTCGGAGGTCCCCAGCCAATCCTTCCAAAGTCGTATCAGCGCCCAGGTCGCCTCAACGCTCCAATGAAAGCGCGGCGACCCGCTCCTCCGTCGTTCAACATATATCGCACGACGCGAGAGTGAGATACAGAAATATAAATGTACAAATAACAGACCGCGATCCACATTAAAGAATGATAAGATATAAAGTAGAGAAATAAAAGCTAATGAAGTATGGTTGTAAGGAAAATCGAGAGGAGGAAAACCGAAACGCCGAAGCGGG